TAAAACCTTCTTTTCTGTATTCTGTATTGTGCTGTATTAATCGTTGACTAATAATCTTCAGTTAAATGAATTCCACTTGAGCCTGTTCACTGACCTCTATTATTAGTACTAATTAATGATAAAAATCTCAAACCCAGAACAGTACCTGAGAATCTCAGCTTTCATTTTTTAAATGTACGTTTCTAGCCCCAGTGGCTGCAGAATAACCCCTGAAAATGTGACTCCGAAACATTTCAACACCAGAAGGAAAAATATACCCCCCCCCATGATCTATATGACTTGTGATTTTTGAACATTGATAATTGATAATACTGTAGTTCCTCCCTCCATGAGGTTGTCATCTGACTAGACAAGACAGAGTGTGGGGAAGATGAAATGGTATTGTCCTTATTGTACAGATGAGGAATAGAGGTCCTGAGAGATTAAATGACATGACCAAGGTCCCATATGAAATCTGTAGCAGAGCCAAAAACTGAATCTAGCTCTCCGGAGTGCTAGTCCTGAGCCATAAGACTACCTTTCCTTTCAGATCAACTGTTACCTAATACTGAGCAATATAAACTAATCCCATATATCAAACAATGGACTAAGAAATTAAACTGCAAAAAAAAGCATAGATCAAAAATAGCCGGTGCCCAAAGACACTCTCAGATAGTACTGCTAAAAGCCAAATACAAATACTGAGTGGTGATAGTCACTGATTAATAATTTATCCCCATGCTCTTTTGCTGTTATATTGATGTTATGTATATTGAAATTACAGACGCCCTTTAATGGGAAAATGGAGTCAGCCAATTTATAAAGGTTGAGTCCAGGAGAAGTGAAAAACCTTTGTCAATAACAACAAGGCATGTGAAAGCTTTAGTTTATTAAAACGGGAACTTGTATTAGTGAACTCTGATCCCTCATAATGTCTCTGTTACTCTCCATCTACCCGGGTAATCGTTGATTCAATATTCGTAACATTTCAGGTAATATGGAATGATATTCTGTCTGACACTGCTTGAAGAAAGGTTAATATACTTAGGCCTGGAAGAATTTTATTTGTTTATCATTTCAATAGATGATATTGGTATTTATTTTTAAGCATTTTTTTTTCAATTGTATCTCTTTAAATTTTCAAGCTGCAGGAAATAATGTGTGTGTGGTGGGGGGGTCAGACAACAGCACGGGTCAGACAATTATTTAATGACAGTAGATGCTGAGGGCTAGATGCACTATATCGGCAACTGTAGCACATCTGGTGCGGACTATGCTGATGGGAGAGGTCTCTCCCATTGGCATAATTACTCCTCCTCCATGAGAGGCAGAAACGATGTCGGCGGGAGAGTATCTTCCGCTGATATAGTGCTGGTGCGGACAGCGCTTAGGTCTCTGTAACTTATGTCACTTTGGGGGGGGGGCTTCTTCATACCCCTAAGCGACGTAAGTTACAGCGATTTAAGCTGTAGTGTAGACCTGCCCTGAGGTTCAATAAAGTTAAAGCCTCATAACCATTAAAAGACAAATTGTCGACATCACATGCAAAACATACAAAGTAAATATCTTTCAATCAAACTCTAATAAGCTCTCGTTTTTCACACTTTGCTTGTCTAGACATTTTGATTATTATCGATGGATATATATATATATTTTTAACCGGTTTGTGTGCATACGGTGAAATCGACTTTTACCGACGTTTACAAATAACACTCAAATCCTTCCAAGCCTAATTCTACGCCTCAGACTCAATGGAAGACGGGAATGTGGTCTAGTGAGTAGAGGTGGGCACTGGGACTCTTGGGTTCTAATCTTGGTTCTGCTACACTCTGAGACTGTGGTGAGACTCTTGGTGTGAATAACCAAGCACGCAATCAGGATTCACGGGCGTGAATGTCACGGAAAATGGATTTCAAAGCTGCCTGGGAAAATATTTGTGAAAACTGAGTTTTTAAAATGCAGGTGTGGTTCTTCATAACAGAGGCACCTGCATGTTCAGCCAATCAGAGAACAGAAACAATGCTGTATGACTGTGTGGAGGAGGACTAGCTCAGTGGTTTCAGCATTGAGCTACTAAACCCAGGGTTGTAAGTTCAATCCTTGAGGGGGCCATTTAGGGATCTGGGGCAGAAATCTGTCTGAGGATTGGTCCTACTTTGAGCAGGGGGTTGGATAAGGTGACCTCCTGAGGTCCCTTTCAACCCTGATATTCTGTAATCAATGAAGCTCAAATAATGAACTTTGAAAACTCAAAGAAATGGTCACTCTCAATCCATATAGTTAAATGAAAGAAAGTCATCAAGGAATTTTGATAATGAACAAACTGAAAGGAATTGCAGAAATTCCACAAACAGAAAAAGAGGCTAAGGCCTCAAACTAGCTATGGATTAATCTCATGTTTCACTACTGCAGGCCTTTGAGTACTCCCACTGGAGTGGCTTCAATGAAACTATTTATATGCATAAGTGCTTATATTTGTATGCATAATGGCTTATACGCTTTGCTAGACTGGGGGCATAATACAGCAGGTATGTTATTTGTGGCAATTTATTTACTCAGCTCTTGTTCTGACATTTTAAAAGGCCAATAGTCATGTTTTCAAAAAAGTTTAACTTTGAGCTATTGGGCCGCGATTCAGGCTATCACCACCAAATTGTTCTGGCTAGTGGACAATTAATGTGGGTCAGGTAGTATTTTTTTATTTGGGGTGCAACCCACAAAATTCAGTGGCCTCCCCCATGTTCAATCTCAAATCAAGCAAAATGTTGTCATCTCAGCTGACTTTTGCAGTGAGATTGCTAGAATCTGGACCTCAAACTTCAAGGAGGAGGGTGGGAACCCACATGAAGCAAAATGGAAGGCAAGACTTGCAAAAGCTGAATCTGTCGCATTTCACATGACTGTTTTGGGTATAGGGGCCAGATCCTCCTGGTATAAATGGGTATAGCTCTGTCAAAGATACTAGCTAACATCCGTTCCCATGTCTTTAAAAACAAATTCATTGGAAGATAAAATAAATCTATGCAGTTCCAAGGCCAGAAGGTGCCACTGTGGTCATCCAATCTGATGGCCTGTATCACACATGCCATACAGAACGTTTCCCCAAAACAATTCCAGTTTCAACTATAGCTCCTCCCCCCCCACACACACACACACAAATGCCAGTGATGGAGAATCCACCACAATCTCTGGCAAATTGTTCCAATGGTTAATTGTCTTTACTGTTAAAAATTTACGCAATGAAAAAATCATTACATTAATTACAAAAGTCAGCCGGGTCTTGGGAACTCCTACATCAAACCTACCCCACAGCACAGTTTATGCCTTTCTTACACTGAGCCAAAAGACAAGGAATTATTTAGCAATTTACCAAAAAAAAAAGGGGGGGGGGGGAAAGCAACAACTGCTCACTTCCTCCACCATTTAAATACTTGTCGTTTATTGCTAGTGTAACTAGGTTTACAACCTTCCGGTATGAAGCATAGACATCTGCTCATCTCAGCACTAAACATCTGGTTATTCCAACAAAGCATATAATTATATTTAATGGATGAGAAGTGTTTGATGGATTACAGCCAAGTATCTGAATAAGACAGTTATACATAAAGACTACTTGCAGAGATTAGCTTGACAGGATAACAAGACACAGTAGAACATTCTTTTGTCTGATATTTATATTGATATCAATGGGTATTTTACAGTACAGATGCCTTATAGATGTTGCAATCATTTATTTTTGTTGGTCTCTCCAGCACAGACTTTTTTTTTTTGCATCTAGGCAATCATAGAGTGTGGGGATTTAGACTCATTAAGTCAACTAGTCCAGCTGACTGCCAAGGCAAGATTCTTCCCTATTGCTCATATGCTAGTGTTTTGGCTAGCCCAGTTTTAAATGTGCAAAGCAATGGCACCTCTACTATTTCTCTCAGGAGATTATCTATTGGCTAAAAGATTGCTCTATCAGGACGTTTCCCCCATGCTAAAAATTGGTCTCCTTTGTAGTTAATTCATTCGGAATTGATAATGAATTGCATTTCATTAAGATAATGCTTGCTTGGTTCCAGCACTACAGACCTCTGACTTGCAATGAATCAAATGGCTTGCCATTTGTTTAGTTAATTGGCAAACAGGTCCATCTCTTGATCAACGGGTGCTGTTCTCCTGCAGTAGGGCCTGTCCCTGATCTTCACTATGGGGAGATCGACAGTGCTGCAATCAATGCAGCAGGGATCCATTTAGTGGGTCTAGTGAAGACCAGGGCCGGCTCCAGGCACCAGCTTGTCAAGAAGGTGCTTGGGGCGGTCACTCCGGAGAGGGGCGGCACGTCCAGCTATTCGGCGGCAATTCGGCAGATGGTCCCTCTCTCCGGCTCGGAGCGAAGGACCTTCCGCCGAATTGCCGCCACAGATCACGATCGCGGCTTTTTTTTTTTTGGCTGCTTGGGGCGGCCAAAACCCTGGAGCCGGCCCTGGTGAAGACCTGCTAAATCGACGGCAGAACACTCTCTGGTCAACCCCGGTATTCCAGGTCTCCGAGAAGAGTAAGGGAAGTCGACCAGGGAGCGTCTCCCATCGATGCTGCACAGTGAAGACACTGGGGTAAGTTGACCTAAGCTACGTCGACTCCAGCTATGTTATTCACAGAGCTGGAGTAGCGTAACTTAGGTTGACTTACCCCCGTAGTGAAGACAAGCAGTTGACCAAGGCCCCACATCTTCTGTGATAAGCTGGACCTGTAGGTTCTACAGGACTCCAATGCAGCTGGATGGCAATCCTGGGACACCTCAATTAAATTACCTCATGGAGGTTTTAAATGAATTGAATGCGAAAATGAATAATGCAATCAGGGTAGTCCTGCCCCATATTTATTTAATGTTGCCCCCACATTTGCAGTTTCCAGCAAGCTTCAAACGTTTACATTGACTTGGCAGAAATGCATCGGGCAAGTTGTCAGGAGCAAGCCTAGAGGTCTTGGCAGCAGGGTAAGGGATGGTTGAGGGTTTTAGGACCTGGGGAGGCATAGGAGGCTATTCGGGATTGAGGGAGACGCATATTAGTGGAATGTTTCTACTAAAATAATCATCAGTGAAATACTTAACAACGTTGGCATTTAAAAGTCAAATTGTGCTCGAAGCCCAACAGCTCCCATCAAGCTAGATTGTGGTGGCCTTGTGCGGCCACTCCCCACTTACTTCCTGTTCAGGTTGTGACTCCGGACACAGGGAAAAAGCAGAAGCCGCTGTGCTAGGACACGCTGGACAATAAGCATTCTGGCCCGCACAAATGTTTGAGGTTTCAAAATCTGGTTTGGTTCCACCTAATCTTTCGAAATGTTTTGTGAGAAAACACCAGAGCGAGAAAGCAAGCCATCCAAGAATAGCCAATAGCCCAGTGGTTAGGGCATTCACCTAGGATGTGGGAGATGCAAGTTCTTCCTGGTTCACAACAGGGACTACAGTGTGGTCTCCCACATCCCAGGTGAGTGCAATAATTGTCAGGCTCCTCTGGGGGTGTGAAGGGTGATCTGTTCTTTTAAGGGTAGTGGTGTCTAGAAGTCAGCAGCAGCGTGCTGATTTCAACAAAATTCCATTTTAAAATAATCAAAACAACGAGCTTTGATAAGATCTCGAAACGCTCTGCCGGTTTCAAAAATATCTTGATGGACCCAACAATGTCACATGGTGGGGAAGTTCAAAATTAGATGCTTTGCTTTTGTTCAGAAGAGGAACAAATCTAGAAATCACGGAATTTGCTGTTCAATGGAAATTCCAGTTCCCTCCCAGCTCTACTTTAAACACAATGAACATGAAGATCCCATCTAAGGCATCTGTGTGGGAGGAAACCCAGCTTGTTGCAGGGTCATTCAACTCCACTCAGATCAAGTTATTCTTCCCTTGTGTGTGATAAATGGATGAGTCATCCTGTCCCTATGGGGGACTAAGGACTGTGGTTCCCAGTGCAGGCTGGGAGACACTCACAGTGCTGATTAAATAATGAGAGTTTATATAAACCACAAGGAACCCAATGTTCTCTCAGGAATTTCAGTCTAAAACTCATTTCAGGAAAGCAGGGAGGAGTAGGTCCAAGAGACGTGTTATTTGAAAATCCTGAGCAACATCTCTCCTAGCTGGTAGCAGTATCCCAGAAGGTTCTTATCTATTCTGCAGGCCAGCCACAAGGGGGCAATGTCACACTTTCATACACTTCTTATAGCCCTATCATCTGGTCTGGTGCCTAGACTACGCACTCCACATCCATTGCTGCTTTTTTAACATGTTTGTGTTTCCACCCTTCCTGCATTTTGTGTGCAGGTCAACCTGGGATGTGAGGGTATCCTCCAATTTTAAAATGGTTACAGGCCTTGTCCTAGAAAACACGAGTCTTTTCCCTGCTAGGAATACAAGCGGCTGCCATGTATTTAATTTAATTTTGGCAAAGTGCGCGGGGACAGTGTCTAATTTGAGTCAAGTGTTTTTTAAAGTGTCCCTTTAACTGAGAAATTATAAGGTGGAATGGCTCCCTCCAGTCAAGCGTTGTCCTATAGCCTCTCTCGCTGCTTCTCCCGAAAGTGAGACCATGCCAAAATATTGGTACTGAACAGTTAAAAACACCAGTGTCAGACAAAACCACTAGTCTAAGTGTTTCTGTGGGTGATTAAGAGACTCGATAACTACTGAGAGTTGGTTATTCTGGACATGGCTATATTTCCACATGCAAATCCTTGTTGATTAAAACTCATTGGCATGCAGTCCTGGCAACGTCGTCTGCCAACAGCTGAGTCACAGGCTCATGTTTCCAGTCAAAAGTGTCACTTGCCAGGATCCATGATAAGTAAAAAGACTCTAAAAAGAGGATGATGAAGAAGAAGAAAAAGGACCACCTTGGGAGGTGGTTTGGTCCAGCGGATAAGTTGCTGAACCAGGAAAACTGGGTTCTTTATTCCTGCCTCTTCCACTGACCTCTGATATGACCCTGGGCAAACCAGGGTTACTTTTATTATTTGTATTACCATAGTCCCTATGAGCCCCAGTCGCAGACCAGGATCCCATTGTGCTAGGCACTGTACAAATACCCTTGGTTGGTCTTGCCTATTAAGATTTTAAAGTAACAGTCTGTTTCTTACTATGTGTTTGTACAATGCCTAGTACTAAAGGATCCTGATCTGGGTTGGAACATTGAGACCCTACTATGATATTAATAATAATTTTGGCACAAAGATGTTTTTTAAAGTAGGGAATGGGTGGTGTCTAGTGGTGTGAGGCGGAGACACAGAATCAGGGCTCTTGGGTTCTAATCCCAGCTCTACCAAGGACTCACTGTAGGCTCAGGGATGCATGGTACTGAGTACTTCCTGTGAAGTGCTGAGTGTCCTCCACTCCCATTGACTTCTGTGGGATCTGAGGTGGCCCAGATTTCACTAAAGGCAGACAGCCCATTGCAGAGTCAGGCCCTATGTCACCCTGGTCAATTCTCTTAGGCATTGTAGAAGAACCTATAGAGGCAGAAATAGTTTGTCATTCTATTATATCAGTGCCTTCCAGGTGTATTAAAGTGGACACAAGAAGATCTCAGCATCATTCCCTCCTTTTCTCCCCCTTTTGCTATAGGGGGACTTTAGCTTAGTTTTCTACGGGGTTTTGTTGGGGCTCTGGAAGTCAAGCTAGACTGCAGGCATGCATACTACATTTCATTGTGAAGGTGCTGCAGTTTGTGACCATCTTGCTCCCTTCTGGAAGGGAGTTCCAGTTGTGGACCAGTTGCTGAGGAAGCTCTTGTGGCTGCCATCTGAGCAGAATGGAGTTGTCCTGCGGAGTCATTTCCCTGGAGGGCTTCTTGGGTCAATCCCTGAGAGCGCTCCGCAGGTAAGGCCCCCAGACTTTGAACTTGGCGGGATCTTCTGTGAGAATTCCTTGAAGCCCATGAGGAAATATCAGCAGTCTGGGTTCAATTCCTGGCTTTGCCACAGACTTCCTGTGTGACCTTGGGCCAGTCCCACAGTCTTTCTGTGCGTTAGTTTCCACCTCTTTATAATGGAAATAATAATTGCTATTTTTCATCTGTTTTAACTATTAGAGTGTACATTTTGGGAGCAAGGATGATCTCTCCTATGCGTTTGTACATCACTTAACGCAATGGAGTTCCAGCTCAGATCTTGGATACAAATAATGAATAGATTACAGGGCGGGTGGTTTTCTTTGATTTTTTTATTTTTATTTCCCTGTGATTAGTGCTGGATAAGGTCTATGTGGAAGGGAAAAATTGTTTTGAAATATTTGTAATTAGTCTTTTACCGCTACAAATCAATTCCAAAGGGTTGTCACTGCCAATTCAGTCATCGTTACAATGGACTGGAAATAAATAACTCTTTATGTGCTCTGGTCTTTTGATCTGAGTGTGGCAAGAAAGATATTTATAACTTACTCCATTTAATCAATTTTTTTTAATGTACAGTGTTCATCAAAAAAAGTCAGGCTTAGCTTCCAAACAACACTGTAAATTCAGAATCCTTAGTGGGTGTATTTGGCTATTTCTCAGGAATGACAGGACTGGCCGGGCTCATTGTTTTCTCAGCTAACATTCAGGTTTCTGATTTCAAGGATACCAGCTTCAGGCAACCTATTCTGAGAGAGTTTTGTTTGCATTACCAGCCACTGTCAGTCATTTTTTCAGCACAAGGAGGAAGAGTTTCCCATTAAATGATGAACTCAAATGTAAATAAGTAAATACAAGTAAAACGTTTTTTAAAACTCTGTTTTAGGTCCTGGATCTATTTATCCCTTCATCTATCTCCAATGGAGGTTGTGGAATCCCTGTCATTGGAGATTTTTAAGAACAGGTTGGACAAACACCTATCAGGGATGGTCTAGGTTTATTTGGTCCTGCCTCAGTCCAGGGAGCTGGGCTAGATGACCTCTCGAGGTCCCTTCAAGCCTTACATTTCCATGACTTTATGATTTATGCAACATTAACCATCTATGAATCTGTTTATGTATATGCCAGCACATCATCTATCCATCCATTGGAGGTGTCATCTTTCTAACTATCTTCTTCCACCTGCACCCAATGACAGTAGCACTATGGCAAGACATGAAAGAATTCAAGCTGAAAGGATATCCTCTGTAGGCTGCAGTCTCTCTCCAGACACGGGCTCACACTTTCTGAGGTAAAGTAGTTTGTGTAGTTATTGTTTTAGCACCTAGTAAGTGTCGTAATCACAAATGCTTTAGCCAGTCTGACGTTCCATTCATTAATGGACCACATACGGTCTGGTGGTCCATGGACTTTTGATTAGGTCACTTGGTCCAGTGTTGAGAGGGGAGGGATCCTCTTGTGATTAAAGCACCGGACCAAAACTCCAGAAGTCTGGTTTCAGTTCCAAGTTCTATCACAGACTCCGTGGGTGACCCTGAGCAAGTCCATTAGAGTACGTCTACACAGCAACTAGGCATCCACAGCTGGCCTGTGCCAGCCAACTCAGGCTCGCGGGGCTCAGTCTGTGGGACTGTTTAATTGTTGTGTAGGCTTCCAGGCTCAGGCTTCAGCCCAAGCTCTGGGACCCTCCCATCCTGCAGGGTCCTAGATCCCAGGATCCAACCCGAACCCAGCCCCGCAAGCCTGAGTAAGCTACCATGGGCCATCCATGGGCTTTTCTTTGCTGTGCAGACATACCCTTAGTTTCTCAGTGCGTCAGGTACAATGGGGAATAATAATACTTCCATTGTCTTGTCTATTCAGACTATAAACCCCTGAGGGCAGAGACTGTCTCTTAGGAATTAGACTCTCAGCTCTTTGGTGTAGGGACCATTTCTTTCTTCTGTTTGTACTGTGCCTAGCACAATGGGATCCTGCTCTGTCACCCAGCGCTCCCAGGTGCTACAGAAATAAACAATGATGATTATGCGTGCATGCTAAACCTAGCAAAACAGGGCCCCAATCCTCACCGGAGGCCACAGGCAGTACCATAAAATTAATAATTAATCAACACTAATAAAACAGAGGCAGAGAAGCACACACAGGGTGTAATCAGGTGCAGACTCACCCAGTGGCACCTCCTGTTGGTCATCTCAGGAATTAGCTCACCAGTCGTCACAGCGCCCTCTGCAGGCCAGGTGTCCCGCCTGTCGTTGGCCCCCCATGTCCCTCCTGGACCCTGGTGCCCTTGTCTTGGGTGCTGCCCCCCTGGCAGTACCCCACTCTCTCTGGGTCTCCCCACCCAGGGGAACCCCCACCCGCTATCCCCACGTCGCCTCAGTCGTAGCTACTGCCAGTCACCATCTAGCCCCCGCACCCTGCAGTCTATCAGCCAATCATCACAGGCAACAAGGGGTTTGGACTGGCTGCCTTTACCCACCCTCAGGCTGCCCCTCTGCAACCCCAATACCTATATGGGCCTAATACCAGGCCCTGCAGCCTGGGGAGTTGCTGGCCTCGGGCTTCCCAGCCCCCAAGGCCTTTCCCCAGCCCTGCCACACGCTAGGTCCCGGGTGAGCTCCCTGCAGCCAGGCCTGTCTCTCTCTCCTGTCAGAGGGAGACTCCTGAGTGTGTGGCTGCCCTGGCCTTCTTATAAGGCCCAGTTGCTCTGTTTGGGGCGTGGCCCCAGCTGCAGCCACTTCCTCCAATCAGCCGGGGTTTTGCTCCCTTCCACAGCCCCAGCCCTCTGCAGGGCTTTTCCCACCCCATCAGGGCTGGAGCGGGGTGTTCACCCCGCTACACAGGGCATAGAGTAAATATGCTTGTCCAAGCAAACTACAGCCTTGGAGATCTCCAGTCCCTCTTGTCATGCAAGAAAGCTGTGGGGTTTTTTTTTGTTTTTAAAAGGAGCTCAGTGTTTTTCAATGGAATTCACCCAGCTTGCCAGCTCAAGTGTTACAGCTCCGTGGCTACAAGAGGGGCAAGAACTGAAACCGACTTTTCATGCCCAGGTGCTGGTGTGAGACACAGAATCATTTTGGAATTGTCAAGCTATCAAATTTATGCTGCCCTGGAAACTTGGAGACTTGTAAAAAGCTCATAAACCTAATCAAACCCAGCAAAAAGCTTCGCAGTAATACTTGGTAGCGTAGGTGCCAGGCATTTCAGGCAGCCTTCCAAAGAGGATTAGCCCGGGATGGGTGACAGAGAGTGTCACTCCTTTACCTGGAAGAACCATGTGACTGTGGAGCTGTTTAAGACAGCCCTGATTTCCCATTAGGGAGCCCTGGGGTACGTTTCCAGTTCATTCCGATTGAACAGGGGAGATGGGCCTGACCCCAAGCTCCTCAGTGGAATGCCCTGGATGTTTGAGGGAGGGAATCCCAAGGCAGAGCGGGATTCAAATTTCATAGCTGGGTCCTGCCCCTATAAGGCAGAAAACTCAAAAGCCCAGCTCCGAGCGTCGCTGTGCTTTGCAGGGTTTCAAACACGTGTAAGTCAGGCCCGCTCCGTGTGGCATTTTGTCCTCTTTAGAAGTAGCTAGGCCAGCTAGAGATTGATAGACCTGCTACAGCCCCCACTAACAGTTGGGTGTGTTGGATCAGGTAGTAGCGGCTCATGCATAAGAACATAACGTAAGACAGTCATTGTGGGTCAAACCGATGGTCCATTTAACCCAATAGCCTATCTTCCAACAGTGGCCAATGCCAGGTGCTTCAGAGGGAGTGAACAGAACAGGGCAATCATCCCGTGAGCCATCCCCTGTCATAGACTCATAGACTTTAAGGTCAGAAGGGACCATTATGATCATCTAGTCTGACCTCCTGCACAACGCAGGCCACAGAATCTCACCCACCCACTCCGGTAATAAACCCCTAACCTATGTCTGAGCTATTGAAGTCGTTAAATCGTTGTTTAAAGACTTCAAGGTGCAGAGAATCCTCCAGCCAGTGACCCGTGCCCCATGCTGCAGAGGAATGCGAAAAATCCTCAGGGCTTCTGCCAATCTGCCCTGGAGGAAAATTCCTTCCCAACCCCAAATATGGTGATCAGCTAAACCCCGAGCATGTGGGCAAGACTCACCAGCAAGACACCCAGGAAAGAATTCTCTGTAGTAACTCAGATCCCACCCCATCTAACATCCCATCACAGACCATTGGGCATATTTACCGCTGGTAGATAAAGATCAATTAATTGCCAAAATTAGGCTATCCCATCATACCATCCCACCCACCTTCTGGCGTGATTTAATGGTCCCAGATTTGATCCTTCCTACTGACAACCCACCCGAGGCTGCTAGTGTTGCATACAGACTTTTGTATCTCAGGGCCATTTCTAATTAATCTCTGACAGTTCTAGAGTGTCTTTGACCCCAAAGCACTCTACAACTATGTACATACAGCACCTCAGAAAGTCAGCCACCTCTGGGGTGATGGAAGCAACCACCAAACAGTATCCACCACACTGCACAATAGTGGGAGTAGGGGAAATTATGCCCACTGGGGCAAACCTCTTAAGAAAACTGCCCTGGGACCTTTGCTTTGCATGCGGTACAAACAGCACATTACTTTTTCAGAACCACACATTGTGAACAGTCTGATACTGTCAAGTATCAGGGGGTAGCCGTGTTAGTCTGTATCTACAAAAACAACAAGGAGTCTGGTGGCACCTTAAAGAAGTGAGGTTTTTACCCACGAAAGCTTATGCCCAAATAAATCTGTTAGTCTTTAAGGTGCCACCAGACTCCTAGTCTGATACTGTATCTTTCCTGGACAAATAAAAGGCTCTTTCCCCATTGCAGGCATTTGAACCTGTCTCTCCAAGGAACATAGCTGTTTCCGACCTGACGTTTGCTAAACCACCCCTTCATTACTCATGGAAACGAACCTTTGGAAATGCTCAGCGTTGCATGAAAACAGTCCAACATCTCTCTCCGGTCCTTCGCTGTCTGGTGGCTTGGTTAAATTGAGCCATTGATTTCCTGGATCATCAGACTTGTCTGAGCTGCACGATCCTGAAGGTGAGTTAAGGTGGGGCTGATTTGAAGAAAATCCGATCATTTAAAAGTGCAACAACCGGGAAGTATTCAGAGCCCTGGGACCTGCCTACCTGAGAGACCCCCCCCGGGGAGATAATGCCGCAGATGCAATCAACAGGGGATGGGATGCTGGAGCCGGCTTCCCCTCATTATAAAAGAGAGGGGGGTCACTCAGCAGGGCATTCTCAGCAAGGGCCAGAGGATCTGGAACTTGCTCCCCACATTGGTGTGAAATAGCCGACTATTGATCACCTTCCAGGCATGCTACAAAAGGCATGTATTTGATAAGGTTTAGTGGGTTGTGAGGAAGTATATACATAGGGGCATTGCCAGCAGATCGAGGGACGTCATTATTCCCCTCTATTCGGCATTGGTGAGGCCTCATCTGGAGTATTGTGTCCAGTTTTGGGCCCCACACTACAAGGAGGATGTGGAAAAATTGGAAAGAGTCCAGCGGAGGGCAACAAAAATAATTAGGGGTCTGGAGCACATGACTTATGAGGAGAGGCTGAGGGAACTGGGATTATTTAGTCTGCAGAAGGGAAGAATGAGGTGGGATTTGATAGCTGCTTTCAACTATCTGAAGGGGGGTTCCAAAGAGGCTGGAGCTCGGCTGTTCTCAGTGGTGGCAGATGACAGAACAAGGAGTAATGGTCTCAAGTTGCAGTGGGGGAGGTCTAGGCTGGATATTAGGAAACACTATTTCACTAGGAGGGTGGTGAAGCACTGGAATGGGTTACCTAGGGAGGTGGTGGAATCTCCTTCCTTAGAGGTTTTTAAGGTCAGGCTTGACAAAGCCCTGGCTGGGATGATTTAGTTGGGGATTGGTTCTGCTTTGAGCAGGGGACTGGATTAGATAACCTTCTGAGGTTTCTTCCAACCCTAACCTTCTCTTATTAGAGGCTCTTAAATCTTGCAGACAAAGGTATAACAAGATCCAATGACTGGAAGTTGAAGGTAGATAAATTCAGGCTAGAAATAAGGCACTATTTTTAGTAGTAAGGACAATTAACC